TCAGATTTGTGCTCTGAGCTTACACCTCCCTGGTTATCCCTTCTCCATCTCTATTGTTGCCTTCTCTTCCTCTGACCAGAATCTCAATGTTTGAGTGCCCCAGGCCTCTACCCTGAGGGCCAGAACGCTCCCTTGCACAGATAATGGCCTGCATACTTCCAGAAGCTGCTGCTGATGGCATCTTCTCAGGCCTGCCACTTGCCAGGCCTGGTATCCTCAGCTGTGACATCTGGACTCAGACAACTTGGGTTCTTCCATTTAATTTCTATACGGCCTTGACAAAATTATTTTGCTTCTCTATAAACTCTGTTTCTTCAACTGTAGTATGGAGATAGTATCTATTTCATAGGATTTTTTTTTAAGATTAAGTGTAAATGCATAGAATTCTTAAAAGTGCCTGGTTCTCAGTAACTGTCTTGTAAGTGTTAGATATTACCATTATTATCATTTAAAGCTCTGGTTGGGCATTTTGTGACAGTGACGTACTAGAGGACCCATCTTCGGTCACTGACAAATGACAGTTTGAGATGGAAACATGATTCTTTCAACGTCGTTCGGTGGGTTTTCTCATTAATACATGAAATAATATTGTATCAGAAAGTACAAAAATATGGTACCTAATCTTAAATAGATTCTGAAATTTGGTGCTAAATTGTTAAATGGCTGGATAAAATATTTATGTTACAAAAAGTTACTTTATCTTTTATTTCTGGATTCTTGTTTAAAATGAAATGTGTAAGACAAGCATTAGCTATTTCTTCCTTTAATTTTCGTTCTGTAGTATACTGTACTTGCAGTGGTAGCAAAAGAATATGCAGTTATTTTAAGTTAATCAAAATGTTTGGTCTATTAAATGACCTTATGAAAGTGAAGTAAAACATGTAAATTAAATAACCCTTCAAAAAGATACACAATTTTGTAAAAATAATAAGAGTGTACAGATGGCACATTCTTCATTATCTGTTCAAAGAAAATAGCTTTAGGTGGTTTATCCAGTATCTTCTATTTTCTTTGAATACCTTGTTTTCATTATCCTCTTTCAAATTTGTGTTCAGTACTCCATTCCTTCTATGATTATTACATCCTGTCGGGCAAATGTAGATGCCTATTATTAATGAAGAGACAACCATAGAAATTTATGAAAGAACATGAATAACAATGTTCATTATACTTTGATGTTCACGTCTCATTGAGACATTTTGGTTGGGTTTGCTATGAAGTGTATTTCTTACAGATTAAAATGGTATAAAATACACAGTTTCACAATATATTTTCCAAATAAATCTGTTACAATTCAGTACTTTTTGACTATTTATCATGTTTTGTCAAGGGTTTTTTAAAATTACTAATATTCTTCCACATTGAATAAAAATCAATTATTGTCCTGAGAAAATTCACCCATGTATTTGGCACCCTTGACCACAATAGTGCCCATTGCATGATTAATTGGCATGATGATACAAGCATTAGGTTGCATAATTACACAAGGATGGAAGCATACCCTTCTTATTCAATATAATGACCACTTGCCATACCCAAGTGATTATTACCATTATTGTTTTATAAGACAGTAGATGATAAGTAGATTGATAAATATAGATATATCATATTCTATAATTCTCTGAAATATGTTTGATTAAATATTTTGTATGTATGTTAAGGGTATGAATATAGCACTGAAATGAGAAGCTCATGATTTTGGTTACCAGTCAGGACTGCTCCCATGGTCCCCACTTCATTCTTCACAGGGCATTGCTTGAGCTTAATCTCCATCTTCCTCTCACCCTTGTGCAAGTCACCACCTGCCCTGAACTACTGCAGAAACATCATTACCTTCTCTACTAACCCCCTTTTGCTCACTTTACCATTAAACAAGCACATCACTTCCATATTTAAAACATTCCATAGGTTCTTGCTATTCTTAGAAGTCCCAAATCGTCACCATACCCTGCACGGTCTTGCCCATTATGCCCATTTCATCTCTTGGAAATTTCATCCCACTCCCTTTTGCTCCACCTGCTTAAGTTCTTTCCCAAAGAGGCTGAGGTAATTCCCACTGTGGAAAATTCCCTCATGCTGCTCTGATGCCTAAAAGGCATTTTCTTTGTCTACATGCAGGAGGCCCTTATCAACTTTCTTTTTAACTTTGGTATATTGGTCTCCTCCTCAGGACCTTAGCAGTTAAGTTCCCAGGACCTGCGCTCTCATAGCCTCTTCTGCTCCTCCATAGTAGCCGTTCTCACAGTCATCATTGAAAACGTTGCAGTATCATTGGTAGTTTATCGGCAATTCTTTCCTCCCAAGTTCCAAAGGGACAAGAACCTTACTTGTCATTTCAAGGAAAGTTTTCAGTTATTATTTGCCAAATGAAAAAAGAAATGTAAATATAAATAATAAGAAAAATGTTTTTCAAGTGTGTTTAGATATTTGATAAGTAAACAAAATTATCTGCCTCATATTTATGAATTTTGCCATAGCTAGAAAGTTTAACTGGGGCAAAATCTACAGGTCTTAGTGAGCAGTTCATGAAAACTTTCGCAGAATGGGAAACCATTGAAAATGGGAAGTGCTTTTAAACAAGCATGTGATAACCATTATATAAGATAGAAAAAAAGAGGTTAGTAAATATTTCAATACCTATTAAAACAATTGAAATTAAATATATATTTATCCTGACCCTTAATTTCATGAGTTCAAATGTCTTTTTAAGGGTTTGTGTTTAAAACAAACAAAAAACAGAATCTTCCTCCTGTGTCAAAAAATTTATTACAGTAGTCCTAAGGAGTATGAACTTATAACTTGAAATAGTAATCTATATTAAGATAAACTGCTGCTGCTGCTAAGTCGCTTCAGTCATGTCCAACTCTGTGCGACTCCATAGACGGCAGCCCACCAGGCTCCCCCGTCCCTGGGATTCTCCAGGCAAGAACACTGGAGTGGGTTGCCATTTCCTTCTCCAATGCATGAAAGTGAAAAGTAAAAGTGAAGTCGCTTAGTCGGGTCCGACTCTTAGCGACCCCATGGACTGCAACCTACCAGGCTCCTCCATCCATGGGATTTTCCAGGCAAGAGTACTGGAGTGGGGTGCCATTGCCTTCTCCATAAGATAAACTACATTTATTTAAATGTTTTTTAGAAGTGTGCATTTGTTTTCTCAAAGTCATGAGCTATATTTGTCATGAGTAATTAATTTTATACAACAATCAGATGATAACTAATTTACACTGGTCTCACTGACTTAGCTCCGATCAACCCAATACACATAAAAGTAGTATACAGATTCTCTCCAAGTTGGGAACGTTGCAGAAGGTATGCTTTTAACTTGATAATATGACTTTTCAAATAAAATGCAGAGACTCTACTTTGTTAGCTTGAAGACACAATGCAGAATGTCAGTTTGTTAGGATTTTGTACCACCTGATTCTGTTTTTCTTCCTTATGTGTTCGTATCACTGCTTTCTAGTTAAAACAAGGGAAATATGTAAAGTGTAAAAAGTGCTAATATGGTTCTTACTTGCGCGACCCCTGTCCCCTTGCAGATAATCAGGTCTGTGTTTTGTACCAATAGATCTTCTTAGGATTAGAATTATGACATCTATAGTAACAGATTCCCCACAGGGGGTTCAATGGTTCTGAAACTAAATTTAGCTTCTCATTTCCTGTCTTGATTCTGACACAGCCATTCCCATAAAGGCTTCAATAATTAAGCAGAAACAGATGCAGATCTCAATAGTATTTGCTTTGAAAAATATGTTATTTGAATGCAGTGGAAATTTCATCTCCCATTAAACACTCTAAAACTCTTAAATGCTGCTTCTCAGTATGGAGCATGGCTTCCAATGGAACATTTCCATATCCCATCCCCAGAACAAATCAACATATTAAATGTAGACATATTGATTTTGCTACAACAAAGAATGGTTATCGATACGAACAATTGCCAATTTGGTCAACAGGATGAAAGCTAGCAATTCAGAAGGTCTGAGATTTATTCTTACACATGAAAAAAAGAAAAAGATCTTGTAAGGCTATGGGTCAGTCCATTATTTTACATTAATAAGATTTACCGAGTAATTACTAAATGTGACTTGGGATTGTTACAGCCAAGCTATTTTTCAGAGTTCTATGGCAGAAATTATGACCAGCCACTTCTGAAAAGTGGTCTGAATTCTGCTAGGATTAGTGAGAGACAGGTGGCCATCAGTTCTGTGAATCAAAGGATCACTTTTACCTTTGCACATTAGAGACAGGCTTTAGAAATTATCTCTGCAGTGATGGTTCTCTGGACCTCTCTTTCATGATCTGTATGCCACAAACTTCTTGATTTGCAGTCCGGGCTCCTTATATGGACATGGAGCATAAATATTATTGATGATTATGCTTCTGTTCTACATTCCAGTCTTGAATATGTTTCACATATACCTAACAAAACCCTGCTATAACTGACTTTCTTCTGGTAAACTACTGGTTAAGAAAACATGGTTAACCATATTGTCTATAATACCTCAGGACTAAAAAATGAAGAATTCTCTCTTTTGTTAAAATATCCTAGAGCTTGAAAGTCCTGCCTTAATAGACTGGAATACTATTTTAATATTGTTTGGTTTTAATTCAAATCTTTCTTTATCAATTATAAGTCTATAAGCTTTTAATATATTTTATATACAGCATATCATATTATTTGCATTTATAGTAAATATTAATTTTTAGTTTCCACTTGTCTATTTCTTATTTTATTAGTCTGAATTTTAAGGATGGTGAGATTAAGGATAGTAGGTGCATTTATTTTTTATATCCATTCATTTATTTAACTCTTAAAAGCATACTGAATACTATTATATACTTGGTAACACACTAGGTATTATGAACACAAAGCTAAATAACATATACCCTCTCCCTCACTCTAAATACCTGTGCATGATTATTGCTGATGTATAATTGATTTTCAACCTATACATATTTAGTTGAATTAAAATGCATTTAAATCTTGATTTTCTTAGATGTACCCATGAAACATGAATTTGAATATGGCATTGAATTTGAATCTGAAGTTGAAGAGGCTAGTTTGGAATCCTGTATGGCTATATATTTGATCAAAAAATCTTATAATGCCAAGAATGAACAGATAACATTGGTCTTCAATCTGATATTTACACCAAAGAAACCAGCGAGGTAAACCTGCTTTTACAAACCCTAATTTCTTTAAACAATATTATTACTCTTTTAGACTAAATAATATGGTCTTTTTCTTTCCATCTTTCTATTTGTCAGTTGCATTACTTCTTTGATGCCATTTAGGTAAATAGATTATTTCTAGCTATCCAGCTGTGAAAAGTATTCTGATGAAAAAGAATAGTCCAAATTATTATAAATCTGAGATAGCCTTCAGGAATTGTGACCTCCCCAAGATCATTAGGATATGCTATTAGCAAAACAAGGCTGTCTACTTTGAAAAAAATTTTTAATTGCAGACTTGGCGCTATACATTGGCAACATGGTATTTCTCCATACTACTTCTCAGAACCAGTTCAAATGATGAAAATGCTGAGTGCCGTCCTTTGCAATTGCTGTCATTACCATTTTACCATTCAAAACCATAGCATTGTACTAAAGGTAAAGTATAAGAGGGTCACACTAGAGTCTGTGAGAATAGTAAGCTTTGAATATCTGTCCTTTGGAAAACCTCGTCCAGTGTCTTTATGCAACTTTTTTTGCAACTGATACTTAGCACCTACACATGCTGTATGATAAGTCACATCTGAAACAGAATTTTATGTCTTGATGCAGAAACACTGATTAGAATAGCAAATAAGCACAAAATGCTGCCTGACCATGAAAAAACAATTGACAGTATTACTTGTGTTTTTAACGATTCCTATAATTTAACTATGCATTCAGTGTACCCATGTGTGTATTTAAAGCAGCTTTGAGAATGTAGTCTAATAACTAAAAGATAGCAGGGTCCCCTTCAGGAAACAGTAATAAAATCAGACTGTAAGAAGAAAGTACACATTAAACATTATTTTCATAGTTTTCTATGGGCTTTTTAAAAATTTTCATAGTTTTCTATGGGATTCCTTGGTGGCTCAGTGGTAAAGAATCTGCCTGCCAGTGCAAGAGGCACTGGTTTGATCCCTGCATCAGGAAGATCCCCTGGAGAAGGAAATGGCAACCTACTCTAGTATTCTTGCCTGGAGAATTCCATGGTCAGAGGAGCCTGGTGGGCTGCAGTCCATGGAATCACAAAGAGTCGGATACAACTTAGCGGCTAAACATTTATTTGTTAGTATTTTTTCACATTTAGCTTAGTATGATGTTGATTCAGTGACAGGGAAATTACCAGCAAAAACATTGAAACAAGTATACTATCAAGGGTGAAACAGATCACCAGCCCAGGTTGGATGCATGAGACAAGTGCTCAGGGCTGGTGCACTGGGAAGACCCAGAGGGATGGGATGGGGAGGGAGGCGGGAGGGGCGATCAGGATGGGGAACACATGTAAATCCATGGCTGATTCATGTCAGTGTATGGCAAAAACCACTACAATATTGTAAAGAAATTAGCCTCCAACTAATAAAAATAAATGGGAAAAAAAAACAGAAGGGGAAAATGTTATCATTAGTGAGTATGAACAGAACCAATGTGAATTTATATTTGTTCTACATTTGGTGGGTTTAGAGCTTCTTGGTGAATATTTGAGAAACTGATTTAGGACAACTTATATTCATGATCTATAAATTTGTGTGAGTGTCTTGTGGTGTTCTGATGTAGTTTAATAATTCTTTTTTATGCACACATACTCATTTGTTTTTGTCATTCCTTCTTCCATATGTATTTGGGATGGTTCACTGCAAGACATACCATTAAATGATAAAAAAACAAAAATAAATAAAACCAATAGCTTTAAATTTTGAAAAAAGAACAGGAAAATAATTATACCCAAATCATACTTTACCTAGATAATCTAAATAAGCATCAAATTTAATTCTTCTCTTCCTGATTGACAAGGTAAAAAAAGACAACAAAATTTTCATGGGTTTGTTAAGGAAAATATAACACTGTTGCACAACAGTAAAAACAAGGTAATTTTTCATGTTTATCCTTTCATAGAATAGTGCTGAAATAATGAGAATAATGGTCAGAGCCTTAAATGTGTTTTTACAAAAAATAAAATATAGTAAAAACAAGAATATTATTCCTTAAGACCTTGACCTTTTTTTTCTTTATTTTTTCAATTTTTTTGGAGTATAGTTGATTTAAAATGTTGTGTTACTTTCTGCTGTGCAGCAAAGTGAATCAATTATATATACATATATCCACTAATTTTTAGGGCTTCCCTGGTAGCTCAGTCAGTAAAGGATCTGCCTATAATGCAGGAGACTAGGTTTTGATCCCTGGGTTGAGAAGATCCCCTGGAGAAGAAAATGGCAACCCACTCCAGTATTCTTGCCTGGAAAATCCCATGGACAGAGGAGCCTGGCAGGCTACAGTCCATGGGGCCACAAGAGTCAGACATGACTGAGCAACTAAACCACTACAACCACTCATTTTTAGATTAAAAATCAAGGGTCTAATACTAAAACTTAAAGAGATTAGCAGTTGATATTGTCATGAATCAGTCTGATGATTATAAGTTAACACAAGTCTGAACTTTTTTTAATAGAGCAATTACAGATGTCATCTGTCTTAAGGAATGTTTAGAAATAATAATCATATCAGCTCAACATTTTCCTGGAACTTTTTATCTGCTCAAGAGATGAACAGAATGAGAACCCAAAGTTCTGTTTCATAGGATTTGAGACAGTTTGACATAGGGAATGCCATATATGTACATTGTTAGGAACCCATAGTATTGACTATAAAATGATTCACTGTGCCATCCTTGTAACTGAGTGGTCTTCCTCACTGTGGGCCAAAAAGGGTGACTCAGTGGCTTCCTACATGCTCAAAGAATTGGCTGATGAATGAAATCACTCAGTGTTGTCATTTGGCCATGTTTACTCATTTATTTTAAAATTGTTTAGCATCTTCAAAAGAGACAAAATTCCTGCACTTTTAGAATATTTAGTCTAGTGAGAGTGAGAAATAAAAGAGAATTAAGTACATAGGAAACAAAAACATTTCAGATTGTCCTGATAAGGAAATAAATAAAGGGAAATACAGACCTAGGAAGGATGTACACTAGGTAAGGTAGACAGGCTTCCAGGAAGAGGTGATGTCTGAAGAAGGACCTTAGAGATGAGAAGAGCTTGGAAGGATATTTGCTGCTGCTGCTGCTGCTGCTGCTAAGTCACTTCAGCCGTGTCCAACTCTGTGCGACCCCATGGACCACAGCCCACCAGGCTCCTCCGTCCATGGGATTTTCCAGGCAAGAGTACTGGAGTGGGTTGCCATTGCCTTCTCCGGGAAGAGTATTTGAGACAGAAGCATTAGTCGCTCAGTCACGTCTGACTCTTTGCAACCCCATGGACTGTAGCCAGGCTCCTCTGTACATGGAATTCTCCAAGCAAGAATACTAGAGTGGTAGCCATTCCTTTGCTCCAGGGCATCTTCCTGACCCAAGGATCAAACTCAGGTCTCCTACATTGCTAGCAGATTCTTTAGCATCTGAGCCACCAGGGCAGCCATTTGAGATAGAGGCAGTAATAAATGCCAAAGTAGTAGGACAGGAAACATTTCGCATGAACAGTGAGTTGTCAGGAGGTCAGTGTTTCTATAACAGAGTAAGCAAAGGAGAAAGTAACCAACTGGAGGAGAGTTTGACCAGGATCTGATCACAGAAGATCATGAGGCTATGAATTTACCTTTTATGCTGAAAGCAATTGGAAATGACCAAAGGGTAAATATTTTAGAGACTGATTTATGACAACTTGTGTATGTGATTCATAAAATTCTGTAAGTATTGTATGATAATCTGACATAGTTCAGCAATTCTCTTTTGTGTATAGTTGTACATACTCATTTACTTCTATGATTATTTATTCCACATGAATTTGAAGTGGTTAAAATGTAGTTAAATAAGAAAAACTAAAATAAACCAACAGCTCAAAGTTGTGCAGTGGCAAGAATAGAAGCAGGTAGACCAGCTATTGAAATAGTGCTCTTTAAATAGTGCTAATAGGGGAATATAGTTTCATTCACTAAGACAGGAGAGTGTGAGAGAGGTGTAGCTTTAGGTTTTATATTTTGGACATAAATTTAAGATGATATATCCGTCATCATGGGCTTCGTTATGCTGAATAATATTTCACTGTTTCAGTGTAATACAACTTTATTATTGTTGGTTAGTCGCTCAGTCATGTCTGACTCTGCAACCCCGTTGACTGCAGCACGCCAGTCTTCCCTGTCCTTCACCATCTCCCGGAGTTCGCTCAAACTTATGTCCATTGAATTGGTGATTTGATCTCTTTGCAGTCTAAGGGACTCTCAAGAGTCTTCTCCAGCACCACAGTTCCAAGGCATCAATTCTTTGACGCTCTGCCGTCTTTATAGTCCCGCTCTCACAACCGTTATGTGACCATTGGGAAGACTATAGCCTTAATTATACATACTTTGTTGGTAGGGTGATGTCTCTGCTTTTCAACACACTATCTAGGTTTGTCATAGCTTTTCTGCCAAGAAGCAATCGTCTTCTGATCTCATGGCTGTAGTCACCCTCTGCAGTGATCTTAGAACGCAAGAAGAGGAAATCTGTTTCCACCTTTTCCCGTTCTATTTGCCATGAAGTAATGGGGCTGGATGCCATGATCTTAGTTTTTGTTTTTTAATATTTAGTTTTAAATCGACTTTTTCACTCTTCTTATTCACCCTCATCAAGAGGTTCTTTAGATCCTCTTCACTTCTGCCATTAGAGTGGTATCATTCGCATATCTGAGGTTGTTCATGTTTCTCCCACCTATCTTGTTTCCAGCCTAGCATTTCTCATAATGTGCTCAGCGTATAAGTTAAATAAACAGAATGACAACAGACAGCCCTATTGTACTCCTTTATCAATCCTGAACCAGTTATTCCATACAGGGTTCTAACTGTTGCTTCTTGACCTCCATACAGGTTTCTCAGGAGACAGGTAAGATGGTCTGGTTTTCCCATCTCTTTAAGTGCTTTCCAGTTTGTTAATGATCCACACAATCAAAGGCTTTAGCGTAGTTGATGAAACAGAGGTAGATGGTTTTCTGGAATTCCCTTGCTTTCTCTGTGATCCAGCGAATGTTGGCAATTTGATCTCTGGTTCCTGTGCCTTTTTTAAACCCTGCTTGAATGTCTGGAAGTTTGTTCACATAATGCTGAAGCCTAGCATGCAAGATTTTAAGTATGACCTTACTAGCATGGGAGATGAGTACAATTGTCCAATGGTTTAAGCATTCTTTAGCACTACCCTTCTCGGGAATTGGGATGAGGATTGACCTTTTCCGGTCCTGAAGCCACTACTGGGTCTTTCAGAATTGCTGACATACTGAGTGAACCACTTTGATAGCATCATTTTTTAGAGTTCTGAATAGCTCTTCTGGAGTTGCATTGCATCCACAAACTTGACTGACAGCAGTGCTTCCTAAGACCCACTTGACTTCACACTCCAGAATGTCTGGCTCTGGGTGACTTACCACACCTTCGTGGCTTTCTAGTTCATTGAGATCGTTTTTGTGCAGTTCTTCCATGTTTTCTTTCCATTTCTTCTTGATCTCTTCTGCTTCTAGTAGGTCTCTACTGTAGTTTTTGTCCATTGTTGTGCACATCTTTAGAAGAAGTGTTCCCTTGATATTTCCAATTTTCCTGAAGAGATCTCTAGTCTTTCCCCTGCTGTTGTTTTCCTCTATTTTTATGCATTGTTCATCAAAGAAGTCCTTCTTATCTCTCCTTCTGTGATTTGGAACTCTGCTTTTAGTTGGGTGTACCTTTCCCTTTCTCCCTTGCTTTTTACTTCTCTTCTTTTCTTCAGCCTCCTCAGATAGCCAATTTGCCTTCTTGCTTTTCTTTTTCTTTGGGATGGTTTTGCTTCCTCCTGTATGGTATTACAGACCTCCACCCATAGTTCTTCAGGCACACTGTTCGCTAAATCTAATGCCTCCAATCTATTTGTCACTCTACTGCATATTCATAGGGGATTTGAAGTTTTACCTGGCTGGCCTAGTGGTTTTCCCTGCTTTCTTTAGCTTAAGCCTGAATTTTGCTATGAGAAGCTGATTATCTGAGCCACAGTCAGCTCCAGGTTTTGTTTTTGCTGACTGTATACAGCTTCTCCATCTTTGGCTACAAAGAATATAATCAGTTTGATTTCGATATTGACCATTTGGTGATGTCTGTGTGTAAAGTTGCCTCTTGTGTTGTTGAAAAAAGGTATTTGCTCTGACCAGTGGATTCTCTTGGCAGAATTCAGTTAGCCTTTGCCCTGCTTCATTTTGAACTCCAAGGCCAAATTTGCCTGTTACTCCAGGTATCAATCTGTCATTTATGAGATTGCACCCAAGTACTGCATTTTGAACTCTTTTGTTGTTTGTGAGGGCTACTCCATTTTATTGTTACTAGCACTGTATTGAAGGGATATTTTTTAAATTTTGGTACCAGTTTTTTTATAGTATAAGTAATGCAACATTGAACATCCTTATACACATTGCTTCTTGAAATCTTTGAAGTATATCTGAGGGAAATTACTAATAGTGAATTAACTGGTTTAGTGTCTGCACCTTTCAAATTTGATAATATATTATCTAACTTTTCCCCAAATTGTTGAATAATTTCACAGTCCAATTTAAAGAGGCTAAGAGTTCCCAGAACTGTTCTGAAAGATTTATGTAAGAAGATTGTGATTTCTTGGTCCATTCTGACATATGATATGGCTTGCAACTACTGAGCTATGTGTTTGAGCTATTTCCACCCGATGCAAGCAAACACATGAGTAACTATTCTTCACCGTCAGCTACTGACCTATGTCTCCACTCTTCTTCAGAGCCAACTGCTTAGAAGGCTATATTTACTGTCTTCATTAATTCAATTGCCATTCAATTACATGTTATTGTAAAGTGTTTGTGATATTTATCAGTTGCAATTTAATTTTTTTTTTTTGCAATTTAATTTTTTAAAGCTTCAGTTTAAGTCAGTTTTGGGGGCTTTGTAAGTTTTCACAGAAAATATAATTTTTCTATGTGAAGCAAGAGTTCAAAGAACTTTTTCATGATGTTTCAGTTTGAACAGAAAATCCCCTTATGGAATATCTTTTAGTGTAACACTTGGGTCCATTTGTCAACCTCTCCTCAGATTATTAAGTAATATGATATTCTATGCTGGGTACAGAAAATTTGCAGAGTGAATTCTACATATGTTACTAATTCTTAGTAAATAACTAGAGAGTAAATAAGATACCCTATGAAATAATTACCTCAAAGGGAGGATAATAATAGGGACTCTGACCTACAGAATTATTCCTGAGATATAAACAGCCCATCCACATCTTTTCCATCTACATTTTTTTAAAGAATTAAAAGCTTCAGTTTTTTTACTGATACCACAGGTTTACTTACATTTTTGCCTTAGACGTTGATGTGCTATACTATATTCCCTTTGCTTGTTTTCCTGCAATATCCTTTATAAATCTCTTTTTCTATTCAAGGTCTCAAGTTACACTGAAAGTAGAGTGCATGACACATGGGATCTGGACATTTCCCATGATGTTGATTGCGACTGAGCCTGATGTGGATGAGGTCATTGATATTGAAGCGGTTGGTTTATTTAAGGAATCTACTGTTAACTTCAGACTGACAAGTCAGGCAAGGTAATACATCAAGCATATATGTGTAACTGGTTTTGTGAATGTAATTTATGCTGAACTGGGAAACCGAATTTAAGATGGAAAATTCTATTATGTCATCTTTTTCTGGTTAACTCTGAGCAATATTGCTTCTAGGAATCAAAGCTTCATATATTTCATATTTATTATTTAAAACTTGGAAAATAGAATCTACAAAGTGAATACCAAAGAACAATAAGAACAAGTAAATAGATATTGAAATTTAGAATAATATTTCTATTTGTTTTTCAAAGGGTGTTTTAACATATTTTTTCAAAGATAGATGGGAGGTTTCTCAGTAAATTTTAATGGTTTTTGGCTATTAAGTGATTTAACTAGGTAGAGGTGATTAGATAAGCTACATTGAGATTCCATTTTCTGTTTTATTCTGCTTAGTCACAGCTATCTTTGTTATACTTGTGATAACATAAGCAGCATGGCAGTAATACTTTTACCTTTCTCAGATGTAAAAAATATTTTTACAGCTTTTTTTGAGGTATAACATACCATAAAATTCACCTATTGCCAGTGTACATAAAAATATTTTTTTTAAATGTGCAGAATTTTCAGTCACAGCCACATTCTAGGTTTCAAACTCATCCTTCACTTCAGTTCACTTCAGTCACTCAGTCATGTCCAGACTCTTTGCAACCCCATGGACTGCAGCATGCCAGGCCTCCCTGTCCATTACCAACTCCCAGAGTTTACTTAAACTCATGCCCATTGAGTTGGTGATGCCACCCAACCATCGCATCCTCTGTTGTCCCCTTCTTCTCCCACCTTCAATCTTTTCCAGCATCAGGGTCTTTTCAAATGAGTCAGTTCTTTGCATCAGGTGGCCAAAGTATTGGAGTTTCAGCTTCAACTTCAGCCCTTCCAATGGATATTCAGGACTGATTTCTTTTAGGATGGACTGGTTGGAACTCCTTGCAGTCCAAGGGACTCTCAAGAGTCTTCTCCAACACCACAGTTCAAAAGCATCAATTCTTCAGCACTCAGCTTTCTTTATAGTCCAACTCTCACATCCATACATGCCTACTGGAAAAACCGTAGCCTTGACTAAATGGGCATTTGTTGGCAAAGTAATGTCTCTGCTTTTTAATATGCTTTCTAGGTTGATCATAACTTTTCTTCCAAGGGGGTAAGCGCCTTTTAATTTCATGGCTGCAGTCAACATCTGCAGTGATTTTGGAGCCCCAAAAATTAAAGTCTGTCACAGTTTCCACTGTTTCCCCGTCTATTTGCCATGAAGTGATGGGACCAGATGCCATGATCTTAGTTTTCTGAATGGTGAGCTTTAAGCCAACTTTTTCACTCTCCTCTTTCACTTTCATCAAGAGGCTCTTTAGTTCTTCATTTTCTGCCATAAGGGTGGTGTCATCTGCATATCTGAGGTTATTGGTATTTCTCCCGGCAGTCTTGATTCCAGCTTGTGCTTCATCCAGCCTGGCATTTCGCATGATGTGCTCTGCATATAAGCTAAATAAGCAGGGTGACAATATACAGCCTTGACATACTCCTTTTCCTATCTGGAACCAGTCTGTTGGTCCATGTCCAGTTCTAACTGTTGCTTCTTGACCTGCATACTGATTTCTCAAGAAGCAGGTTAGGTGGTCTGGTATTCCCATCTCTTGAAGAATTTTCCACAGTTTGTTGTGATCCACACAGTCAAAGGCTTTGGCATAGTCAATGAAGCAGAAATATATGTATTACTGGAACTCTCTTGCTTTTTCGATGATCCAGTGGATGTTGGCAATTTGATCTCTGGCTCCACTGCCTTTTCTAAAACTAGCTTGAACATCTGGAAGTTCATGGTTCACATATGGTTGAAGCCTATCTTGGAGAATTTTGAGCATTACTTTACTAGTGTGTGAGATGAGTGCAATTGTGTGGTAGTTTGAGCATTCTTTGGCATTGCCTTTCTTAGGGATTGGAATGAAAACTTACCTTTTCCAATCCTGTGGCCACTGTTGCATTTTCCAAATTTGCTGGCATATTGGGTGAAGCACTTTCACAGCATCATCTTTTAGGATTTGAAATAGCTCACCTGAAATTCCATCACCTCAACTAGCTTTGTTTGTAGTGATGCTTCCTAAGGCCCACATAACTTCACATTGCAGGATGTCTGGCTCTAGGTGAGTGATCACACCATCATGATTATCTGTTTCCTGAAGATCTCTTTTGTATAGTTCTTCTGTGTATGTTTGCCACCTCTTCTTAGTATCTTCTGCTTCTGTTAGGTCCATACCATTTCTGTCCTTTGTTGAGCCCATCTTTGCATGAAATGTTCCCCTGGATCTCTGATTTTCTTGAAGAGATCTCTAGTCTTTCCTATTCTATTGCTTTCCTCTATTTCTTTGCACTGATCACTGAGGAAGGCTTTCTTATCTCTCTTTGCTATTCTTTGAAACTCTGCATTCAGTTGGGTATATCTTTCCTTTTCTCCTTTGCTTTCTGCTTCTCTTCTTTTCACAGCTATTTATAAGGCCTCCTCAGACAGCCATTTTGCTTTTTTGCATTTCTTTTTCTTGGGGATGGTCTTGATCCCTGTCTCCTGTAAATGTCACAAACCTCTGTCCATAGTTCATCAGGCACTCTGTCTATCAGAGCTAATCCCTTGAATCTGTCACTTCCACTATGTAATCGTAAGGGATTTGATTTAGGTCATACCTGAATGGTCTAGTGGTTTTCCCTACTTTCTTCAGTTTAGGTCTGAATCTGGCAGTAAGGAGTTCATGATCAAAGAGTTGGACAGTGGTTGCTTCAGTACTGTCCAACTCTTTGTGACCCTATGGACTGTAGCCCACCAGGCTCCTCTGTCCATGGGATTCTCCAGGCAAGAATACTGGAGTGGGTTGCTATGCCCTCCTCCAGAGGATCTTCCCAACCCAAGGATTGCACCTGCATCTCTTATGTCTGCTGCATTGGCAGGTGGGTTCTTTACCACTAGTGCTTCCATCTCCCCCCAAATTTCCCTTAAACCCCTTTTCAGTCAATCCCTACTCCCACCCCTCATCTCTGGCAACCATTGATATGCTTTCTTTCTCTGTAACCTTGCCTTTTCTGGATATTTTATATAAATAGAATCATTCATTATGTACTGGATTTTTAAAATGGTTTTTATGCAGTTTTAGGTTTCCAAGAAAAGTGAGAGGAAGACACAGAGATTTCTCAACCACCCCCTCCCCTCACATATATGTAACCTCCCCCATTATCAACGTCACTCACATAAATGGTACATTTTTTAATAAAGCTAGACCTACATTGACACATCATAACCATCCAAAGTTTGTAGTTTCCAATAAGACTAACTTTTGGTGGTGTACATCCTATGAGTTTTGTCAAAAGTATGATGATATATGGGCTTCTCTGATGGCACAGTGGTAAAGAATCCACCTGCCAATGCAGGAGACTCAGGTTCAATCCCTGGGTCAGGAAGATCCCTTGGAGGAGAACATGGCACCCCGTTCCAGTATTCTTGCCCAGAAAATGTCTTGGGCATAGGAGCCTGACGGGTTACAATTCGTGGGGTTGCAGTGAGTTGGATACGACTGAGTGATGGAGCACACACATGATGAGATATATATATATATATCATTATAGTATCATGCAGAGAATTGTCACTGCCCTAAAAATCCTCTTTACTCTCCCTATTTATCTTTCTTACCCCACCCTTGGAAACCACGGATCTTTCTATTGTCTCCATAGCTTTTTTACATAGTCTTTTACAAAATGTCGTGTTATTGGAATCATATAGTATGCCAATTCAGTTCAGTTCAGTCACTAATCGTGTCCAACTCTTTGCAACTCCATGGACCGCAGCACACCAGGCTTCCCTGTCCATCACCAACTCCCAGAGCTTGCTTAAACTCATGTCTATTGAGTCGGTGATGCCATCCAACCATCTTGTCCTCTGTTGTCCCCTTCTCATCCTGCCTTCAATCTTTCTCAGCATCAGGGTCTTTTCCAGTGAGTCGGCTCTTCCCATCAGGTGGCCGAAGTATTGGAGTTTCAGCTTCAGTATCAGTCCTTCCAATGAATATTCAGTACTGATTGCCTTTAGGATTGACTGGTTTGATTCCCTAGTCCCTGGACTGAGACTCCAAGGGACTTGCAGTCTGAGAGTCTCAGACTAGCATATAGTAAATAGCCGTTTCAAATTGACTTCTTTTACTTATCAATATGCATTTGAGGTTCATCCATGTCTTTTTAAGCCTTGATAGCTCATTTCTTTTGAGCATTGAATAATATTCCACTATCTGGATGTATCAGTACATTTATCCATTCACCTACTGAAGGACATCTTGATTGCTCCTGAGTTTTGGCAATTATGAATAAAGCTGGTATAAACATCTGAGTGAAGATTTTCTCATAGATGTAATTTTTCAGTTCTTTCAAGTAAATACCAAGGAGCATGACTGCTGGATCCTATGGTAAGGGTGGTCTTCCCTGAGAGCTCAGTTGTTAAAAGAATCTGCCTGCAATGAGAGAGACCTGGGTTCGATCCCTGGGTTGGGAAGATACCCTGGAAAAGGAGAAGGCTACCCACTTCATTATTCTGGCCTGGGGAATTCCATGGACTGTATAGTCCATGGGGTCACAAAGAGTGTATTTGGTTTCATCAGAAATGACCAAACTGCCTTCCAAACTAGCTGTACTATTTTGCATCCCCACCAGTAATAAATGAGAGTTCCTGTTGCTCCACATTCTCCCTGGCACTCAGTGATATTGGTGTTCTTTATTTCAGCCATTCTAATGAAAGTATAGTGGTACCTCACTGTAGGTAGTTTTAGTTTGCATTTCCCTGATGACATATGGTGTGATGCATCTTTTCAAATGCTTACTTGCCATATGTATATCTTCTTTGGTAAGGTATCCAATAAGATATTTTGCCCATTTTTAATTGGGTTATTTGTTTTCTTCTTCTGAGTTTTTAGAGTTCTTTGTATATTTTGTATAATAATTCTTTATGTGTTATATCTTTT